TTTTATCGTACGAAGAATATGTTGTCGCGCAATGAGGAGCGCGCACTAAAATCAGAGCGCAAAAACCTTCTATTTTCTTTAAAAATTGCATTTTCAATATGTGTTAGGTAACTATCGACCACTACTAAGCTTATCTGCGCATTAATGTAATTTTGTTAGTTTGTCCGTCAAGAAATTTTGTTTTTTTGCTTAGCCTAGTTTGCGGATGATATCTAATAAAACGACTAAGTTGGCCGGATATGCGTATGAGTCCAATTTTGTACGAATTATGTACATACTGCCTCGGCAAGGTAAGAGGACTCTTAAGAATACTGCATAAGCACCATAAGCATCATAAAAGACCATGTGCGCCTATAAAATCGTTATTACAGGGCAATGAAGGAATGTTGGAGAATAATGCGATGTATATTTGATACGATGCTTTGTGAGGAGAGGATACTAAATTGATTGAGTGACTTAAGAAATATTATCTCCTATTTGCTTAATCGAGTACTGCTCACAATCTTTTTAACAAAGCGTTTAGCAAGTACGCGAGACAGATTTGGAATAAGTGTTTGAAACTGCGCTAGGCAGTGTACCCGTCAACTCCAAATTAGCCCATTAAAAGTTAGATTTCCCATTTCAATGCTATTGTTTTGGTTTGCACATTTATATAAAGTTTTGTTTCAAGCTAGCGAAAGTTTTGAGATTTCTTTTCCTTTATCCAAATTAGCTACCTACTCTCTTCCTTTCAAAGTGTTCTTCCATGCCCTTCTCCTTTTTAAATCCTAAGCCATGCATAAATCATCCATCAGTTCTCATCATTCATCCTTGGGAAAACCAGGTTACGGTAGTACAAAAAACTTGTTTTGGCAAATTGTTCTTGCTGCTTTGCTCATACTGATATCGCGTGATATTAAATATCACCAATTCTCTGAAAAAAGTGTTCTTTGAAGCAGTTAGTAAGTTTCTTCCTGCATTTGCAACGTATGATCGATTTGCTAAGTTTCTTGAAACAAGCTTGATATTTGAGAACCCTCGCATTAGAGGTAGTACATCAACATTTAGTTTATCCGCATGAGAGAGATGAGAAAGGTACACGCGAAAGTTTATGAAAAAAGTAAATTTCTTGAGCGTACACGTTAACTCAATAATAATCACAAAAAGTTAAGGTTTAAGAGTAAACAGCTGGATAATTCTATTCCTTTGGATTTGACATCGAAACCAATGTCCTGTATCTATCACCTCATTTAAGAAAAATAAATGCATGAGCACCTGCGTAGGGGAGTGTATTATGATTGCACTTCACATAAATCCATAAATACATAGGAAATACACCGTAAATGGAGAAATACAGACATTTTATTGCATAATTTTTGCTTAAACCTATGTATGAGTGTTTATTTGATGTATGACTTGTTATCACAGGACTAATTTTTTGTTGTTTTTCAGCTTTTTACGCTTACATGGCTAAAGACGTTTCTCTACTTCGTGCCCTTACAGATTAGGTGTACTTATCTCAGCTCAAAGCTATTTTCTATCCTGGTTTTTGCGCAACTAAAAATAGAGCTTGAATGCGTTGAGCGCTTATGGGAATTTTGAGGTTTTTCTGGATTATACGATGAAAGTGCTCTGTGAATAGCTGAGTGATCTGGTCATTTTTCCATTTTACTTGGCACGGGTCAGCCATCCACTACAATGGTCTTGGTTTGTCGAGCAGAGATTAGCTGGAAGGAAGGAAGCTCAAGATATATTAGTGTTCAACTTTTTCAGAAATCGATATGAGGTTCTAACGATTTTTTCCTTTGTTCAGATCTTAGTTTGTGATACCATTCATTGCGCAAAGGAAGTTGTGTACGATAGCCAAGTGAAGCTGCGAGCCGTAACTGCTAGAGGAGATGACTTAAAGCCGACGGGAACCATGAGTGGAGGTAGGTGCAATCTCAAATACTGAGCACTAGTTCTTTTTCAGTCGTACTCACATTTTGATGTTGTTTGCATTTGAAAGTTCCTCGAAATACAAGCTTGTGCAGACCTACCTTAGACATTTTTTTGAATTAAAGTTACTTTCTATCGTCCATCCGGCAACTATTGCTAAACTAGGATTTCATTTTTGTTCAGCTTAAGGCAACTGAATATACTATTTTAGATTATTTCACAAATTTTGGCTCCAAAGATTTTCTTACAATTTAAATTGTGAAACCGCTGCTGGGAAAACCTTGCTCTTGTTGTATTACATCAACGGAATCCGATAGATTTATAAATATAGCGATCACGAATGCCTATGCAGTGGAGCAGATTAGATTTTTTAGTTCGAAAAGAATTTAGAGATGACCAACACAATGACGAATCGGTGTTTATTTATAGGTAACCTGCGATCCTGCCATGTCTTGATATCCTAAACTCATCTTGATATCAGGATTGTGTTAGTTCAGATTGCGATTGTTCAGCAAGACCGAAACAAAATTAACAAATTTCGTTCAACTGAGGTTTTGGCCCTTTTTCAGAGTCTGGAAGGCTGAATACATTTTTCTCTTTTGATACATTTGATGAAACAGGCTGCTAATGTTGTCGATTTTTCAGGCTCGAAAAAGGTAAATTGCTGAAACATTAATCGAATAAATTATACATATTATCGGTCCGAACGCTATGTTGAAGAAAGGCAGACTAACACGTTCCTGCTATGTCTGTTGACATCTAGTAACAAGGGGATAAACATTTAGCGATCTTTGTTTGAAGCACCTTTGTTTGGCATAGCAGAATAGTGGGATTGATTTTAAGTTCAAATCAAAGATCAGTTTTCCTATGATTACCTCAACTTTCGTGAAATGCCCAATATTAGGCATGCATTACTTATTGCTAGAATTGGACTATAGCCCACGTTAAGTGGCGAGTGTCTTTTCCACTTTTCAAAAGTAGAAGATATGAAAAAAATTAGTTTCGGAATGGATGACGCTCAGTGACATAATGATTTTTGCAACTAGATCAATCCAAGCAAGATAAAATCCTTGCTTTCACTCAGCTGTATAAACTTTGCTCCTTCCAGCTGCTAGTCCCACCCCACCGTGATCGAGGCTTTAATAGATGTTACTCCAAATGTGCCCAAAATATAAGTTTTTGAATGCTGCGCAAGAGAAAGATTCATGCATGGTGCACAGATCAGTTTTAGTTACGACTGATGAGACAGGTTATGCTGCAGGTTATGCTCTGAGAAAAACGTATTTGAAAAGCGGATTTGAGTGCACCAACTCAATACAAGAGCGTTGGGGTTTCTCCTCAAATGTTTTTCCATAGGAATGAGTTATTTAGGAAATAAGTTGTAGTGGGGCCAACTGGTACCTGAGCGTATGAAATATATAAAATGAACAAAAACTTATTCAAACTCTAGAGATGTATGAAATTCAAGTGTACGCAGTATATAAGAATGGCTCTAAAGGAGTGTCAATAATCAAATGAAGCCGTGCAAATGCACCAGCGGAGCAGTTCAGCTGCAAGATGCAAAGATTAATCTGTATGAGTAACCCTGCTAAACTCTGCGATCAGATTGTATATTAAGGAGCTCCTGATCGCCGAGGACCAATCCTTATGGATCTTATTGACTACACTACGTTCAAGTCAGAAATCGCTTGGAAACAAGCTGAAATGGAAAAGCTTGGAAGTGGGCTACGATTTTTCTGTGTTTAATTTTGATAGTTTTTGCGGTATTTTTTAAGTGTTATTGCTAAATTTAGAAGAAGTATCGAAGTACGATAAAGTTCGTGGCCGATACTCGGAATTAAAGGACAAACTGGAACGTGCTTCTGCTCGTTTGGAAGCCTTAAAAGAATCATTTAAGGACGGTCCTTTGCAGCAACTGAGCGAAGAGATTAAAGTACTCGAAAAGGTGGTTAATTCGTTTTCTTCTCTTTGTCCTTTCACTTGCATTGAAATTTGAAATGAGTTCTAGTATTGCTATTACAGTAGGATTAGTCTGGCTGATTTTGGGATACATGTTCCATCAATCTTTCCTAATGAGACAGTGATCCAGTTTGATTATTTCTTGGCTTCAGGATCTTCCGGAATGTGATGCACTTTTGCGAGAAATGACGAAGCAAGCGAAAGAGTTGAACGATC